AATATGTGGCGTCCATGGTATGTGGTGGTTCTGTTTTTCCAGGTTTAAAAAAAAATTAACCGTGCAAAACTTTCCTGTGGAATGGAGTTCAGGCCTCTGGGAGACTCGGCCTGCAGCCTGCAAGGTGCGTTCTCTCTCCCTCCACCCCACCCTGAGACCAGACTTTCCAGGGATTTATTGTATACACAAAAGGCAAGCCTGAAATGAAGCTGAAGGCTGAAAATGAATCTTGGGAAAGATAAGGAGACTTCAAGGAAAAGAACCACTTGGTGGCGTTTGAACTTCTAACCTCGGGACCTTTATCTCGGACGCACCTAGTAAAGATATTTGCTTCGGAAGCAAAATCCCTGACCCTGGATTCTATGTTACATGGCCCAGTTCTAGCAGGGCTATTCAGTGAAATGCCATGGATAAATAGCTGTATCTATTTAGGGCTGAGATTTCTTATGAATCTTTGTGGATTTTAGCAGCAGTAAAAAAACAGACTAGAGAGATTTAAGGTATGCAGATATTAGAGCTACGCCTGCGTGTAGACCTGTGGATTAAGTGTGTGTGTGTACACTTATTTCACTTATAATTGGATTGATAACATCACAATCGTGTGTGTGTATATATGTGTGTGTGCACACATGATCAGCTGAGTTCAAATAAGTCCCATAAAGGGCATAGTTATTATCAAGACAAGCTTTTACTATGACGGGAGGAACTCACACAAGAGAAAGGCTGGCCCAGAGATATAGCAGCCTCCAGGGGGTTGTTTTTTCCCCCTCCCTGGCTCTAGGTGTATGAGACAGAGTGCTGCCTGCCTGTTTAGACTGTGCTATACACCTCTACTTTCTGCATTTGAGGTATATGTATTATAGCCTCTACTTTCTGCATTGTCTCTCTCTTTAATGCAGAAAGTTGAAGATAATAATACATATACCTCTAATGCAGAAACACTCTCTCTCACACACACACTTTCTCTCTCTCTCTCTCTCTCTCTCTCTCTCTCTCTCTCTCATCTATTTATCTATCTATCCACAGATTAATTGACAGGTCTATATCAAAATACATGTATATACTTCTAGTTTCCGCATAAGCAGTATATGAACTATATCTAATGTATATACTATATTTATACCTACAAAGAGCGAGAGACAGAGAGAAATGAATTACAGCGCCATACAGGTATGTATATTTATACAGAAGTAGAAATGTAGGTGTCTCTATACTGCTAATCTACCTATATGGCTATTTACCTATGGATAATGGCTGTCTATATCTATTGCCGCAATACCTTTCCCGTGCTCTCTCGCTATTTAGCGAGAACTACCCGCATCCTATACATAGGTGCATGCCTACCTCTAGCTAGCGATACAATTTCTGGCTTCCGTCACGCTGTGTGGGGTTGTAAGTAGATCAGGAAGAGATCACAGCCCTTGGTGTTATCCTCCACTGAGCCCTGGTGTTTAATATGAGCCATTAGTCGCGATTAAGATTGGTAAACTCGTGTTAGATTCAGCTAGATTCCTCCTCCCCCCAGCACAGCCGCACATGCAGCCCAGTTAGGGTGGATCTCAGACACTGGGCTGCTTTCTCCCTTCAACCAGATCCTTCAGGTGGCAGGCTCCGGCCCTGGTCCCCCGGGAGGAGGGTTGGCTTTAAAGACAACAGCTCCAGCTCCGAAGGGAACAGGCTCAGCCTGCCGCAGTGTCCCTGCCTATGGGAGGGATGGTGCAGTCAGAAAGGTCCCCAGCCGCAAGGCCAAGCGGATACGCTGGGAACGTGAAGGCTGGTGTGGGTCAAATTCCTTCCCACTGACCCTGCCCAGCATCGGGCGCCTCACAGCAAAGCCTTCCTTCGGGGGGGCCTTTGGAGAGTGGGTAGCAAGTTATTGTAGCAAAATCTTTCGAGAGCGTAAGATGATTGGCCCGATTCTCTGTATAATTGGATTGACCAGCTAGATAGATCAGATCTAGCGACCTATGTGCGCTATACAGCGGTAGATAAGATCGGTTTCTTGGGGACTTGAGAAGCAAAACGTAAACCACTTTTATTTAGCTCCGAATTGTCCTGCAAACACCTACATTCCCTGGCTAAGGAGAGGAGAAAAGCGGCAGCACCGTTCCTTGCTAACGGCTAGCCGCCTTCTGCTTCAGCCCTCAGATGCCCGTCCGGTCCCACCCAGAGCTTTCCTGAAACTGAAAAATCTGGCCTCTTGCAGATAATTCTTTAGGTTGTTTTCGAAATCACGTAGCCAAGGCGTGTGGGGCGCTTGGTGCTTTTAGCAAAGCTGATTCAAGAGAGGGAGGGGGTCTTTTAATTCTGTTAGTGTCTTAAAAAAAAAACAATCCATAAAATACCTGGTAATTTACAGTTTATAAAAATGCCTGAAAGTCTCACTGGCAGCAGGAGGAAAGAACAATGCAAACGTTAATGAGACGTCACAACGAGCCATGCACCCCAAAGCCGAGAGGAAAAGAACCAGGGAGGTGGGGATGCAAAGCAAACAGACTTTTGATAGCGCGGTTGCAACGCAGAAGATCTGTCCTTTTACTGCTGTTTAGTGTTTATTCCTTCGGGCAATAAACCTGCAATTTTCCTGAGTAGTGGCTGTTTTTGCTGTTTGTTTTGCTATTGCAAGGTTTGAGGGTAAGTTTTGTTTTTGGGGGGGGGGTTATGGCGGAGAGGAGGGCTGAGTATTTTGTTTTTTAAGGCGTTTTCTCTGCCCATTGGTCTGATTTTTCTCTTTATTTCTCCACTATTTCTTTTCGCATTTCATTCTATTATTTCTAATGCGGGGGAGGGGAGAGAAAGGGGGTTTATTTGGTCTTTACTCCGAAATAAAAGCCCCTTCAGGTCAAGTGAATGTCGCTTTATTGACTTCACCCCGAATTACCAAAAAGAGACAGAGTCCCTGGCTTTACCAGTCTGCCTTCTCTTTAGAGACAGCAGCTTGTGCCATCAATTGCGTTCGTCGAGTTTATCGGTAATTTCTATGTAACCGAGCCCCAAATAAATTACCCCCCACGTCCAAAATGTCAAGTTTGAAAAGAACCAGTTTCAGGAGCTGTGGATCGCAAGAGCGAATGAAGCTGCGGTGGGTCCAGTCCAGAGATCAGCCCAAAGAGGAAAAGAAGTGTCATCAAAGTAAAGCTAGTTAATTTCAAGTCATTCATTAAGGGCTTGATCCCAACCCCATTAAGTCAGTTGGCTGTGGATCTGGTCCTAAGCAAGAAAAACAGAAACACCGCTGTCCATGAAATATATCTGGCTATTTCGCTCCTCCATTAGCTTCAGCTAATCCCAACATACGTTTTAAAAACACACCATATTAGTTCCTTATAATAGGAAAAGCAGACTGCAGTGTTGGCAGATAAAAATCCCACTGTATAACGGGTAGGAAGAAAAGAGAAAGGAAGACTTGAATTATATTTATCTTCATCAGCACGAAATTCCTTCGACCTCCAAAAAAACTGTCAAAAATCATATTCTCCTTGCAAAAATCGCCTCCGGGTATTTTTAAAATTATTACTATTATTATTTTAAAGATTTCTTTAAAACAAGGGGATTGAATTTAGACTGGGATAAAGGATTTCTTGGAAGCAGAAGCCAAGAACAATAGCAGCTCCTTTCAGGTTTGCACTGAACTATGACATTGTTAAAAAAAAAGAAAGTGAAGATATTCAAGTAAATTATCCTGGACTGCAGGGATACGAGCTATGGCCGTTTGGAGAGGGGGAAGATCTCGTTGTAAATATAGGGTCCTATTATGCCTTCCTTGCTCACCCTACCAGCCCATTGGCACCGCAAAGGGAGTCGGGGAACCAAATAATGCACAGTTGGGCCCTCTATGGGCTGATCCAAAGCCTAATGCTGCCAATGGAAAGATTCCCACAGACTTTGGATCGGGGGCCCTATGTCCCCCATAGAGGTGTCGCACACTCTTACCATGTATTACACCGCATGCTATTTTATTTGCTGTTCATACAATTGTGAAGACCATGTACAAATAACATACATGTTTTATTTTTGGTTCGGTTTTTTTTTTAAAGGACAAACACACAAAGGGGGCAAAAAAATCATAATTACCATTTAATACAGTGCAGAAGAAAATTAAAATAGGTGTCACCGAACTGTACAAAGGCGGGACAAAAAAAAGGGGGGGACGGGAGGAGGAAATAATCCTTCATTATATATATATTTATATAAAACACGGGGCGGATTGTCTTTACAGGCAGATCAGACGTTTTAAAAAATGTACAATGGCTAGCTAAAAAAAAATCTATATGGCAAATATTGCCAACAAAGTTACACCACTTTAATACTGATCAACTGAGGCTCCTGGTGTCTCGATTATTAGCAACAAAAAAAATGTAGAATAAATAACAGGATGAGCCTGGCTATTTTTTTCTCAAAGTGCCTTATTCTCTCTGCATAGGGTCTGATCCTGCAGTCTGAGGCAGGCAAATAACTCCCTTTGGGAGATTTTACCTAATGCGGGGTTGCAGGCAAAAAAAATAAAAATAAAGTACGTCTCTAAAGCCCGGGCTAGAATGGAGACTAGGATAAAGCCAATGGGAGGGGGTTTGTCGTTTTGTTGCCCTTATTGAGACGCCAAACCCCCGCACTGCCTCGTGAGCCAATGTTTAGTCCTTCGTGTATAGCGCTGATTCACACATTCCCTAGCCCAACAGGGAGAGGGAGACCACAAAATATACTGCAGAATTTGGAGAATAGGCTACAAATGCACAATCACATGAAAAGAGGGTATGTGGAGTTCTTTTCTGCTCTCGGGGAAGTCAATAGCCCCACACCCATAGACTTGGATGGTGCAGGAAAGCCCCACACACACCAGTAAAGAGCTGATAGGGAATAACACAGGCACATAGAGGAATTCTTTCCCCTTTTCTTTTCTTTTCTTTTTTTAAGACAGTGAGGGATTGGAAGAACCCTTGGCCAGAAATCCCATCTGTGTTCTGAAGATTCCAAGCAATTCCTTTAACCCTTCAGTTACACATCTCAACCAGACCATTTCCAAAAGATTTCCATTCTCCTTTTAAAGCTCACCGCGCCTAGAGTTCTGGTCCAAGCAAACCCTTCCCGATCGCTTTCATCCCATATTTTCCGGATGGGGTTTTTTTTCTTTCTTTTCTTTTTTTTTTAACACTCACGTTTTTTTTTAAAAAAAAATACAATTTTGGATTTTTTTCCCACCCCATCAATAAAAAATAAGAGCTCGTATTAGCAATGAAACAGACACGTGATTCTTGGAAACTTAGTCAGCTCACAGCCCCCGAGCGATGCTACACACGAAGGAAAGAGACAGCACCCCGTGTTCACTTTACCCTTTCCAAAAAGGCACGTGCATCCCTGCTTCTTTAGCTTAGTGTTAATTCATTTCAAAATGTTCCCAAACGCCAGGCTTCTGCGGATGGCTTATATACCTCCAGAGTAAAATCAGTCTAGTTATTTGGATGTCCCTTTAGCACAGAGGGTCTTTTGGGAGGTCCCTTCCACATAGAAAGTTTCCTTTGTGTCGTGATTGGGGGGGGTCCCCAAAAGTTGGCTTATTTGCCTGTTATCACATAACACAGGGCTTGATGTCTTGGTATGTCACTTGCTGATGATAGTAAGATCCACTCCCTGCTGAATGCATCGAGGAAGAGGCCATCGCGTTGAAAGAGAAGACGAATTCTTTCCTGTCGCACATGCTTGGAGACTGGGAATGATACCGAGGGATTCCTGGAAGAAATCGGGGATCAGAATTAAAATGACGCTTTAGCAAGTGGCTAGATCAGTAATCCTATAGAGAGGCCTAAATCAAATGAAGACGCTTGGGGGTTCCCTACCATCACCCCGTGCTGGCTGGGGGGCATTTGGGAGGAGGGTTTTCACTGCACGGAAGGGAACACGCCAGTTCTGCTTTATCATCCCAGGGGTTTTTGTTGCGCACAAACAGGTGCTGTCATGGCAGTCCTTACTCAGAGGAAATTCCCATTGACTTTAATGGGAGTTTTGCCCGAATACGAATTGCAGGATGGGGCGGTATATTTCCTGGCTGGCTAAGGAAGCAGAAGCATTTCGAAGATGTGTGTTTACATTCTGCGTCCTTGATGTACAGATTGAGGGCCTGATGCTCCTTCCGTGGGAGTCAACGGGGGAGGGAAAGGCCCCTTGATTTCCAGTGGGACCTACCGGGCTTTGACTGCTTACCCCTCTCTGCGCCCCCTACCCCTGAGCTCTGACAACGAAAAGAAGAAGAGTTAGCAAACGTGGGGGTCAAATGGAAGGAGCCCAGAGAGCCTGGGGTTTTAAAGCAGAACTCCCATCGAAATCAAAGTGAAACCTCCAAGAGATTTCCCCCAGTGACACCCAAAGCAAAGCAATGCTATATTAAAGCAAGCCACGGCAGTGGGAACAAGGATAATACTACTAGTAAGCGCAAGGGTGCCGAGAGCCTTCCGAATTATTCATGGTTTCCAGCACAAAATCAATCAACTCTGAAACGTTTCCTTCTATCTAACCGATCTTTGTAAACCAAACCCAAGTGCTCCCATGTTGGTGCCATTGTTACACGCTTGGTGTTTAAAATCTTGTATTAAAAACCCCGTAGCGTGTCTCTCCGATTTGGAATAAATGATCGTTTGCAGTTAATTTCGAAAAATTAATCCGGACTAGTCCCATAGAATTTTGCAGCTAATCTGAAATGATTCATCCGGTCTATTCCAATTATATTTTCGCAGTTGATCTGAAATTATTAATCTGGATTACTCCAGGCTCTGCAGTTTAGTTCCCTTAACAGTATGTTTACATGAGGGGCTGAGCGTTCCACCTGCCATCGGATAGGTGGGAAAAGAGATCTGCCGAGGGCGACACAGCAGTGTTCACTCTTGCTGTTCCCTGGCCGCTATTCCGGTTCACCCTTATTTTATGGGACTCCGTTTACACGCCGGACTGTACGTTTCTCCAGCAGGCCCGCATTTCAAAGCCCAGATGGGCCCCCCCAGGAGATGTGTTAAAAATACAGTTCCCCCAAATAGCACTCGATTAAAATGGCGAGAGAAATAGAGGGGAAGAGGCAGCGATTTTTTTTAAAAGGCTGCTGAAGTTAATTGTCAGGTTTCAACACAAAAGTCAGGCCACGGAGAAACCCTGGGTTTAGCCCTATCGAAAAACAGCAACTCTGTGTGGCAGTTCTAAAACTTTCCTGCTTTGCGATCACTTCGTTTCTATTCTTACTGCGAGCCCTGCTACTCCAACAGAAAATATGATCGAGCGGGCCACTAATCCAGTTCATCGTGTCTACAGCGTCTCGATACAAGGACCCGATCGAACAGAATTGCCACTGAGGTCAGAGTAGATCCAGAGATCTGGATTCATTTTTGGTTCGACGCTTTTAGTGCCCGATCTAATCGATTAATTCAGATCGGGTGAAAATATATCGGAACATTTCCTCCTCTTCGGGTCCCACAGTCACCCCCGCTCCCTTCTCAATAGCACAGGGCCTAGGACGAAAGTGCACACGGGACACGAAAGCACCAACCTCCGCGCAGAAAAACATGCCTGGAAAAACAGCCCGGCGGAACTGGTTTCAACGCCATGCATGACAGGGGTGAAATCCCGAAATCCTGGCCTCTGGACAACCCCCCCGGCCTGCAATGGAGCCGGGATTTCACCCTAGGTCCCCTGCAATGGGATGGTGCAAACAGCGCAGCGTGGGACGGTCCCCACCGCAGGCAATGGGAATCCCCAGCAGAGCCGCAGGCTGCTGGGCCCGAGATAACCTCTTCCCGGAGCTTGCCGCTCCAGCCGGCCGCTGCACTCCTAAACCCTCGCCTCGCCACTGGCGTGTTTCCTTGAAGCAAGCCCTGTCCGGGAGTGGCTCAGCCCCTGGCCACAACATCTCCTGGCTCCTAGAAACCGCACCCCCCTCCCCGCGGGATATTTCCCTCCCTGCAAATAATAGCTGGTCTCCCCAGCACAAGGGGAGTAGGTGCGTTGGTTTAATTCACCCTGGCAAGGAAAAAACCATGATCCCTGGCTGGGAAGAGTCTAACCTAAGGCGGGATACAGAACTCTAGATTACTTTACTTTGGGGTCATCTATCGGGACATCCTCCTGTCCCTAGCCAAATTCCCCCCTAAACTACTGCAGCGTTAGCTCTGTTTGCAAAATCGACGGCCTTTCACGGCTCTCATGTGAGTGCTTAGGTGTGGCTATACTCGTCAGCTCTACCGATCTGCTTTGCAGAGGTAGGAAGCGATCGTTAATGTACCAAGCCAGCAGTTACTCTTGCTTGTTATATAGGCTGCGAAGAGACTGCCGAGAAATAACCCCAAATTGGAGGAATCCAATGTAAACCAGAGTGCACCGAAAAAGGTGGGAGGAGATTTGGGGCCTGAATTTCTCAATTGAATTTGAAATCAGAAAGATAGATAACTAAAATATCACACACACATACACACACACACTTGTATGTATCTGCCTATGTTTCACATTTAGACATGACAGATTGAAAATCTTTTCCCAAAGGACGCGGAAATGGTGTCACAAAACTTACACAACAGCCGTGGGAGAAAAGAGGTAGAGGCCGGGGCCCCGCGCCTCTATATGCGTGTGTATGGGTTTAAGTGTGCGCGCGTGCATGTCCATCCATGTAAGTGTATGTGTGTGTGTTGTGTGATGCCTGAGCATACAAACACTTGCAGGAAGTGTTCGTACGGTCACTTGCATGGATCTATTGCATGGCTGGCGTGAGATCACTTGCATGGATGTCGCGCCTACGTTGCATACATGCTTTATGGCCTGCTCCTCAGCAGTGCACCTGGGAAGGCCCCGGGCACCGGCCCCCCACCTCCCCCGTTACCTTGCAGCTCTGCGGCGTTGTGGCTGTTCTGGTGCAGGTAGGACTGGTCCAGGGAGTGCGTGGAGAGGCCCGAGGAGAGCGGGTTGGCCGCGGGGTTGCAGGGGGACAAGGATTGCTGCTTGATGTAGGGCGCCCCGCTGTTCAAGGCGGCCGAGGCCGAAGGGGCCCACGGCGAGGCCGAGCTGGAGTAGACCGAGTGGGGCTCCATCACCCCGCCGCTGGCCAGCAGCGGGGAGGCCGGCACGGAGCTCTCGTGGTGCGGGTAGTCGCCCCCGGAGGAGCCGGTGCAGCTGCCCATGTAGGAGTGCCCGCCGTTGGCAGGCAGGTGGGGCACGGAGTGTCCCCCCAGGCCCATGCTGTCCACGTTGCTGGGCAAGTGCCCGTTCATCATGCCCAGGCCCCCATCCAGGCCCAGGCTGTTGGGGCCGCAGGAGAGGCCCCCGGCCGTGCCCTGGAAGCCGTAGCTCTCCGGGGAGAGGTGGTTGAAGCCCAGGCTGTTCATCATGCTGTACATGGGCTTGAGAGCTTGGCATTTCCTCCTGAAGCCGCGGGGCCTCCTGCGGAAGGAGCCTTCCTCGAACATGAACTCGCTGGCCGGGTCGATGGTCCAGTAGTGGCCCTTGCCCGGGCGGCCCAGCCCCTTGGGCAGCTTGATGAAGCACTCGTTGAGCGAGAGGTTGTGGCGCACGGAGTTCTTCCAGCCCTGGTAGGAGCCGCGGAAGAAGGGGAAGCGGCTCTGCAGGAACTGGTAGATCTCGCTCAGCGTCAGGCGCTTGGACGGCGAGCTCTGGATGGCCATGACGATCAGGGCGATGTAGGAGTAAGGGGGCTTCTCCGGCCGCCGGATCCCGGCGTTGCTCTTCTTGGCTTTGCCGCCGCCGCCGCCCGCGGGGGTGCTGCTGGCGGCGGAGGAGGCGGACTCCATGGCCGAGCCCGGCTGCTGCTGCTTCTCCAGCGCGGAGGACATGAGGCTGCAGCCGCCGTGCGCCGCGGGAGGAGGGGGCTGAGAGGACGGAGGCTGTTGTACCTCTGCAGTCATCGACAGCGGCGTCCCCAAACCAGCTCCGGCCCCCCTCTGCTCGGCCCTCCTCCCCCCCTGCCCCGGCCGCGCTGCTGGGGGGTGTTATTCCCCCCCCCCTCTCTCTAGGTGCAGGGGGTCTTTCCACCAGGAGCCTGCACCCCCTTTGAATAAACACACGCAAGTGACCCCTCCACCCTGCCCCTAAATCCGAGCCCCGCGGCAAGGCTGAGCCAGAGGCGAAGGGACCGGGCCGCTGTCCGGGCTCGGGTGCGGAGCAGAGAAGCCCCCTGGAATTGGTTTTTTTTTTTTTTTTCCTCCCTACGTTGTTTTGCAAGAGGCTGGTCTCCCCCAACGCCGCCTCCTGGCTCTCAGCTCGGCTGCTGCTGCTGGGAGTTGCTTTTCATCTCAGTCGGGCTGGTTCTGCCCCCAGCCGAGCCGATCGCCTTTAACTTTATCTCGTGTCCGCGGCGTCTGTCGGATCTTGACAGTCAGACGTAAGAAGCAAGAGGAGTTCCCCGCCCCAACCAACTCCCCCACCTCCCCTTTTCTCCCCCCACCCCTTCGCTCAAGCTCAGCTCTGGTGGGCACTTAAAGGGACCTTTACACTCCGGCCAACTGCTTTGCAACTGACTCACAGGCGGCTCCTTCTCGTATTGGGCGTCAATCCCTTTTCAATACGCCCCCCCCCCGAGGCGGTCTGTGGGGGTGATTTGGGAGAGGGGGGGCCGGGAGAGAGGGCGTTTTATTGTCTTTATTTTGCCTCGCAGGTCGCAACATTTTTAAGTCACTAACATTTTCCCCTGGACTTCTCTGATTGTCAGCCCCATCTTTCCAAGGCCCAGTTGAGGACGGTGAAGACAAAGTTGCTCTGAACGAGGCAGTTTTCTGAGCTCTTTGCTCTTACAGTCTCTATTCTTAAATCATAATAGAGATCGCAACGGAGCGGGGCGGGGGGGGGGGGGGGGAGGAAGAGTCAACGCGCCTGCAGGATTTAAAAGAGACAAAAATCCAAGTAGCAGCAGGTTTAAGTCCCCGGGCGACTCGCGTATAGCCCGAGAAAAACAGCTGTTTGCTGGCTCTGAAAGCCACGAGGGCTGTTTGTCCACAACTATGAAAAAAGGGGAAATGCGGCTCGCCCTAGAGTGCGAATCGAATTTGAAATGTAGCAGGAGTGAAGCTCGCCCACTTAAAACCCCAGTTTCTTATTTCTTTTGAAGATAGACAGGAACATGGGCAGGATGTTTATACAGCGAAATGTAAACATCTTCTCAGGGGTTCTTTAATAAAAAGAAATCAGAAAGAAAAGTCCCTGGTAGTTCGCATAGAGCCCCGTGCTGCGCCATATAAAATAGCGCCCGTCGCCTGATTTGCGGCCGGGTTAGACTTTTGTTGTTGTTTGTTGTTGTGATACAAATATGTGTTGATTTTTTTCAGCTATGCCCAGACTTTGATCCTCAGAAGTAATGGCTCTCTCTCTCTCTCTCTCACACACACACACACCACATGGGGGGGGGCGGGGAGGAAAAGGAGGGCAAAGCTTCCTCAGACCCCCACCCCCAAAAAGTCTGGCCATCTTTTCATCAGTAAAGCTGTCACTCCCTAATCAAGGTAAGTCACTTGAAACTTTTGTCGCCTTCTTACCAGGCGCGCGTGGTAACTTTTGCACAATTAAGCCGTGAGAGGGGCTTGTGCGGAGGGCCCGGGGGGGGGGGTGGCTTTCACAGTTCATCGCTAGAAACTGAGCAGATGTGCTGGCTGTTGCCGTTTTCTTTCTTGTCAAGATGGGGGCGGGGGGGAAAGGCCAGATAGTACGAAAAAAATCCAATTGAGTTTGTGCTGCTGCTGCCCGTTCTCGGCTCTGCAAAGTATCTTAACCGAGTGAAAGGCTGAAACCCCCCTCCGCCTTCTCTCCTTCCTCCTTTAATTCCCCCTTCTGCCCAGATTCGCTTTTAAGGGTTTTATGATAATTTAATACCTTTTAAAAGAAAGATAGATACTGATCGGGTTTCCAAAATCCCTGTTAACGTTATTTGCAGCCAGTCGTTACTAGCCTCTAGGGCGCCTGACACATCTGTGATACCACCAACAGGGATTTCACATCAGGATTTTTTTTTTCTTCTTCTTTTCCCCTTGCAACACTCAGAAGCAATCTCCAGCGTTTGCAGGGGGGAGCAGAACGTGTGTTTCCACGGGAAACTAGCGCATTTCGGGACTTTTGCAGCTCAGTTCAGATCCGTCAGTGTGCCTCGGTATAGAGTTGTGTGTAACTGGCCCTTAAACATGCTAACAATACAGAAAAGTGAAGCATCGATGTCACGTATCCACTGCAGAGAATGATTTTCTGATTGGTATTTCACAGCCGGTCAAATGGCCTAAACTGCGAGCGAGAAAGAAAGCTCTCTAGTAAATAGCCTGGATTCAGGGCCTGGGTTGCAGGATAATCCACATATAACTGCAATGTGTCAGGGGGCTCTCTGTTTCTATATGGCCTTCTCCCCACTCCCCCGGCTATAGAAATACGGTGAAATGTTCCCATAAATTGATATTATACGGAGGAGGGACCATCCCCCAGCGCAGAAAATCCCGTCCCACATCTCCATCTCAAAGCAGGAAGACACATGGTTTAAAATACCATTCTATGCCAGAAAAAGCATAGAGCAAACGGGGATAACAAATAGTGAGTGTATCGTGTGTTATTGCTTCATTTAAAAAAAATCAGACATTTCCCCAGCTCTTCTTTAGTAAGTGAGCATATGCTTTCTCTGTTTACAGATCCCAAATTTATAATGCAAAATAACCTTCTTAAATCAGCCTTTAATTTTCTTGTGAGCATGTCTAACCTATTTTTCTCCATTGCAGCTATTATGTTATAGCTCAAATTATTATTTGTCTTGATTTCTTTAAAATATGAAATCGCATTGTAGATACTTTCCTCCCTCTCCCTCCCTCCCTCCCTCCTCCCACTTTGCTTGAAAGAAATATAAAGAATGAATTTGGAAATTAAACAATTCAGAACCCAGATTATATATGTCAATTCCAGAATTCTAAACAAGGGATGCAAGGTATTAAGATCTTTTGCAATTGTTTCTGGGGTGCCGATAAGGACAGATTAAAAATAAAATTCTGGCTTTACAGCTTGCATTGCAGTTCAAGTTAAAATGTTGGTGGTAATTTACATGAGGAAGTATCTCCACTAGTGTATCAGGAAAAAAACAACAACAGTCAGCCTGAGCAAATATGACGCTTGTTTCAGTGGTCTTAACGAAACAATTTTCTAAAAAAATAAAACAATCTTTTGCTTAATTGTTTTCTTTGTTTCCCCCAGTGACTTTTGGGAGTGTGAAGATTTTTTTCCGACGTATTTATCTGGTAAACTTAAAAAAAACCCATATAATCTACTCCGTATTTCATAGGCCTAGCTGTGGGAAAGGAAGAAATATTACATCGTTTTATGTAGTAAACTAACCCGTGTATTTAGTAAATAACAGATTTTGGGAATAAAGGCCAAGACATGATTTATTGTATATAGCACAAGGATTTTATTTTACAATAAATTAACCCTCAGTGTCACTCTTATTATAGACTGAGAGGACCATGTTGTTAGGTAACTTGTTATCTTCAGTGGTTTGTTGGTTATAAAACGTCAAAATTATTCAAAATATGGTCAAGACCGGATTCTTAAAGGGCAAATAGGATATGTCTTAAATTCCTGCTCTAGAAAAATGTCAGGCTGGTGATTCATGTAGATAGATATTTCCCTGTATAAAACAAACAAAATAAAATATAAGATCCCCCCTCCTCATCTGTGGCCCCGTCAGCAAAATAAACTAGATGGGGAACATATAATTTGGAGCAATTATTGTCTTTTTAAAATATGTTGCTACTTTGATGCAGATTTCACATCAGACGGTTGGGCTAAAAATCAGCCCAGTGGGCCTGCAATGTTTCCTTTTTTTAAAAAAATAACCCTCTGTTTTCAAATTAATTTCCAAAAGACATTTTTTTCTCCTTTTTTTTTAAATCTGCAGTGCTTTGTGTAAAAATAGACAAATCTGAGCTTTCTTCCTTTTCCTGCACTGAAGGTATTTTTACTAGCTAATTGCTTAAGTGAACTAGACTCTGCAACAAGCCAGCCTGTAATCCGAGTATGGAAATGTATATAGGTAGTATTGTTGTAAGAAGACTGTGCAGTTGGGTGCTGCTTTGCTAAGAGGCCCATGTGTTTATCCGAGCGCAGACCACCCATGGAGAGGGCAGAGGCACGCGTGCGCCCCCCTCTCCACTGCCCCTGCTTTTCATTAACACCAGGGACTTCAGTTGGAGAAGCCCGCCCCCCTACTTCGCTTTCTGGAGGCGATCGCCCAAACTCCGTGCTTTAGCCCAGTGCAAACTGATGCCTAAACGTTTACATAAGGTAGGCGGGGAGGGAGCGATGGGGGCTGATTCAACCAGCGGGTTACAGACGGAGGGAGGAGGGCATTTTGTTAACTTGTAAATATTCCAGCCTAAAAGGTGTTGACAGGAGGGGGCACTATTTGGGGGGGGGGCGTTTCGGGCAGCTCCTTGGCATCTCCTCTCTATAATAAGCTGTCCAGAAGAGGCTCCTCCAGGGAGAAAAGCCCGGGAGACGCTTGCTTCCCATCCCACCTTTAAGAGCCCGACTGCACGTGTGCAAAGCAGATTAACCAGCGAAGGTCTGGGCAAGGCTGGGGGGGAATGCAGAGCCGCAGGGCAGTTCTAGCATCCGCGGTCTGTTGCTATTATTAACGTTCGGACCCGGCGCAGTTTTGGGGTCTCACGCACCATCCGCGTTGTAGCTTCTCCGGGTAGGGGAAAAAAACAAACCAACAACAAAAAACCACCATCGCTAAAAGCACCGTAAGTGAGTTCATGCAGGAAATATGTGGCGGAAAAGACAAGCTTTCCCGGAGCGCCGCTGATTTCCCTGGAGACCAGCAAGGCAAGAGAGCCAGCTTTAGCAACCCAGTCTTGGCCACAAGAGGTTAAAGGCAGAGGGT